AAAGCTGATAAGTCCCGCAAGGCACGGACTTCGGGTGGCAGAGTGTTCCAGAGCGATGGTGCCACTGCTGTAAAGGCTCTGCGTCTGGTTGCTGTTAGACGCAAGGTCTTGACACTGGGAATTTCCAACAGATCTTGGTCTTCAGAACGGAGGGATCTCTGGAGTTGGTAGGGGGTGAGGCGGTCCCTCAGGTACAGGGGCGGCTCAACGCATTATGCAAAGTAAGCCTTTGCAGTAGAGTTGATTTTGCCAGGGGGCGCTCTTGAAGCGCCACAATTCAAGAGAGATATTGACAAGCTGGAATGTGTCCAGAGGAGAGCGACTAAAATAATAAAAGGTTTGGAGAACAAGCCCTATGAGGAGCGGCTTAAGGAGCTGGGCATGTTTAGCCTAAGAGAAGGCTGAGAGGGGATATGATAGCCATGTATAAATATGTGAGAGGAAGCCACAGGGAGGAGGGAGCAAGCTTGTTTTCTGCTTCCTTGGAGACTAGGACGCGGAACAATGGCTTCAAACTACAAGAGAGGAGATTCCATCTCAACATGAGGAAGAACTTCCTGACTGTGAGAGCCGTTCAGCAGTGGAACTCTCTGCCCCGGAGTGTGGTGGAGGCTCCTTCTTTGGAAGCTTTTAAACAGAGGCTGGATGGCCATCTGTCAGGGGTGATTTGAATGCAATATTCCTGCTTCTTGACAGAATGGGGTTGGACTGGATGGCCCATGAGGTCTCTTCCAACTCTTTGATTCTATGATTCTTAGGGGAAAATAGACCTTGACATATGCGAGTTGTGGTTACTGGGATGTATAGTTCAAAGAGCATTCTGAACTCCACCAATGATGGAATTGGACCAAATACGGCACACAGAACTCCCACTACAAACAGAAAATATATATCAATAATTGGGGGGGGGGGGGCAAAATACTGTTTGCTTACCTAAGGCCGCTTCTACTCAGGTACATCAGCAAGGCCTTCAAGGTGAGTATCATCCCTTTGAAAGTGATCCGGTGCTCAATGGGTAACCAATGCAGCTGCGATAAGATTGGTGTGATGTGGCATCTTTTCAGAATTCCCGCAAGAAGCTGAGCAGCTGTGTTTTGTATCAACTTGAGCTTCCGGATCACTGACAGAGAAAGGCCAATGTAGAGGGTGTTACAGTAGTCCAGTCTTGAGATGACCGTGGCCTGGATCACCATAGCTAAGTCGTCCCTGGACAGGGAGGTGGCCAGCCGTCCAGCCTGCCGCAGATCAAAAAAGGCGGTTCTGCTCACGGCAGAGACCTGGGCCTCCATCGTCAGCAGAGAGTCCCAAAGGACTCCCAGACTCTTTACGAATGATGACAGGCATAGCACCTCGCCATCCAGGGTAGGGAGCTGGATGTCCCCACTGCCCGGTCCACCCAGCCATAGGATCTCCGTCTTTGCCGGATTCACCCTCAACCTGCTGGCACGCAGCCATCCAGTAATGGCCTCAAGGAACTGATGGAAACAATCAGGTACAGAGTCCGGTCGGCCTTCCATCTTCAGCACCAGCTGAGTGTCATCAGCGTACTGGTAACACTCCAGCCCGAAACCTCAAACCAGCTGAGCAAGTGGTCTCATATAGATGTTAAACAACTGAGGGTAGAGAATGCCCCCCTGAGGAACCCCACAAGAGAGAGGGGACCTCTCAGAGACCAGGCCTCCCCTCTCCACTCGCTATCCATGGTAGTGAAGAAAGGAGGACAGCCAGTTTAAAGCTGTCAAGAGCAGTGTTTCTCTACATGGGGGTCGCAACCCCTGGATGGGTTGTGAGGGGGTTTCAGAGGGGTCGCTAAAGACCATCAGAAAACACATATTTCTGATGGTCTTAGGAACCCCTTTGGCAGAGAAGGATTAAGATCTCTCGGTCTGCCCTTCTCTTCCTTTTTGGAAACACATTGCGAATCCTCTCATCAAAAGCCCTCCTCCGCTGTGATTGGTCGTCCCCTCAGCCAATGGGAGGGCTATTTCTGAGACTCCAAGCAGGGGAGGGGAGAGCAAGCGTGTTCAGCACATGGCAAGGTGGTGCACATGAGCGAGCAAGAGAGAGCATGCAAGGTTGGAGGGAGGCCCGTCCCAGTGAGTCCCTTTAAGGCATTTCCCATTGTTTGGGAAATTTAGCCCAATTATATTGTTGGTGGGATTCAGAATGCTCTTTGATCATAGGTGAACTATAAATCCCAACAACTACAACTCCCAAATGTCAAGGTCTATTTTCCCCAAACCCCACCAGTGTTCACATTTGGGCATATTAAGTATTCGTGCCAAGTTTGGTCCAGATCCATCATTGTTTGAGTGTACAACTCTGGATGTAGGTGAACTACAACTCCAAAACTCAAAGTCAATGCCCACCAAACCCCTCCAGTATTTTCTGTGGGTCGTTTGAGATCAGTATGCCAAGTTTGGTTCAATTTCATAATTGGTGGAGTTCAGAATGCTCTTTGATTGTAGATGAACTATAAATCCCAGCAACTACAACTCCCAAATGTCAAGATCTAATTTCCCCCAAACTCCACCAGTGTTAATATTTGGGCATATTGAGTATACGTGCCAAGTTTCGACCAGATCCATCATTGTTTGAGTCTACAACTCTGGATGTAGGTGAACTACAACTCCAAAACTCAAGGTCAATGCCCAGAAAATCCTTCCAGTATTTTCTGTTGGTCGTGGGAGTTCTATGTGCCACATTTGTTGGTGGAGTTCCAAATGCTCTTTGATTGTAGGTGAACTATAAATCCCTGCAACTACAACTCCCAAATGACAAAATCAATCCCCCATCCTGCCGGTATTCAAAGTTGAGTGTATCAAATATTTGTGCCAAATTTGGTCCAATGAATGAAAATACCTCCTGCATATCAGATATTTACATGACAATTCGTAACAGGAACAAAGTTGTGAAGTAGCAATGTAAATAATATTATGGTTGGGGGTCGGCACAACATGAGGAACTGTATTAAGGGGTCGCGGCATTCGGGAGGTTGAGAAACACTGGTCTAGAATTAGATCCCTACAGCCATTTCCCGGACCAAACGAGAGGAAGAAAAAGACTTATTGGTGGCATTCCGAATGCTGTTTGATTGTAGGTGAACTATAAATCCCAGCAACTACAACTCCCAAATGACAAAATCAACCCACCCCACCCCCCACAACCCTATTTGGGCGTATCGAGTATTTGTGCCAAATTTGGTCCAGTGAATTAAAATACATCCTGCATATCAGATATTTACACTGGTCTAGAATTAGATCCCTCCAGCCATTTCCCGGACCGAGCAAGAGAAAGAAGAAGAGACGGTACCCACTAGACTGATTCCCTTGCCATCCTGCCTTTTATATCACATCTTAATTAGAGTGTAAAAACTAGGGCAAGGAACGGCTTGGCCGTCCTTTTACTCGTAAGGCACCGTGTACAGTGATGGCGGTATATAAATAAATGATGACGGAGGGCTGTTAATAGCGTGCCTCGAAGGTCTCTCGTTTGCGGAGAAACCGCACATTGACAATCTCAGAACGACGCGAATCCCCAAAAGCTCCAGGAATTGGTTGTAATTCAAAAACCTTTATTGTATTGCTTTGTGTCGAGCCTTCCCCTTCCTCCCGAATCCTGCACTGCTCCGTTTGATTAATATTAATGGGAGTTGTAGTTTGACACAGTCTTTCGCCTCCTCGGCCCAATAACAGTGTGGATTGACTTGTCGCCAGCATTATGCTATGGAATCCTAGGGGTTATATAGTTTATAGTTTAGCAAGGGCCTCAAACTCTTTGGAAGACTGGAGGCTCTTGCTAAACTACAACTCCCACCTGCATCAGTGGGATTAATTTAGTGATGTATATGTTTTTCAACGTGCTCTTATGTATTGCCAAGATGGATGCCACTGTGAATTGTAAATGCCATGCAGAAATGAGGCTGTGATTAAGTGAACTTGGAAAAAGTAAGATAAGGTGTGTTCTTGCTGAGAACAGAAGGGAGTTGCCAGTCTCAGCAAGAGAAGATAAGCAGACGTGCAGAGGCTTTCGGTTTTGACTAGTTCTTTGTTCTTCCTGAATTGTAGCTCGCTGTAGAAAGACGTGTCTGATGTATGTACTTAGTTCTTTTTTGTAACTCAAAGCCTGCAGAGTCCTTATTTTGCAACTCAGTGTCTGCTTGATCTAGCATTCCTTCCATTAGGGATCGCCAATCTCTGACATACATATATATATATATTAGGCTTGGTTGATCAAGAAAAAAATGGTTCTAAACTCGTTTCGTATGTAGGGGGCGCTGGAGGTTCGATTTTAAAATTATTTCCAATTTTTTCTTTAAAAAAAGATCGGAAATACCAGGAAATACGAATTGTTTCCTTTGTTTCGTTAATGGAAGGTGCCCTTCTCTCCCTCCAGAACCATTAAAATCTCGCAGTTTCCCTTCCTTCCCTTGCGGTGAGCTTCCATGCAGAAGGGAGAGGTGGGCGTGGCTAAGCACAGCCCTCCTTGGAGGCCTCGCCCCCAGCGACCAAGCACAGCGCTCCTTGGAGATTTTACAACTAACACTTTTAAATCTCTCACCTTTCTTTCTCTTCCCTGGCAAGCTGTCGAAGGGAGAGGTGGGCATGGCCAAGCACAGCGCTCCTCGGAGGTCGCTGGGGGCGAGGCCTCCAAGGAGGGCTGTGCTTGGCCACGCCCACCTCCTTCCTCTTTGCATTGGCAGCTTTGCGAGGTGGGCTTTGTGAGGTGGGCGTGGCTACACCCAGCTCTTCCGCATCGCTGCTTGTCACCAGGGAGGTAGCCACGCCCACCTCGCAAGGCCACTTCCTTCCTCTTTGCATCGGCGGCTTTGCGAGGTGGGCTTTGCGAGGTGGGCGTGGCTACGCCCAGCTCTTCCGCATCGCCGCTTGTCGCCAGGGAGGTAGCCACGCCCACCTCGCAAAGCCGCCGATCGTAAGGAAGATAGCAGACGCGGCTTCAAAATGGCAAAAACACTTCCGGGTTGCCAAAACGCGTCGATATCGCTTCTAAAGGTAATTATTTAACGAATTAATAACGAGATAAGAAATTAACGAACTGGATCAACCAAGCCTAATATATATATATATCTATATATCGATGATTGGTTGGTGGCGTGCCAAAATACTGTTTGCTTACACTTGAAAGTTACCTAGGGCCGGCCCTGCAGTGAATGGTAATCCATACTGAAAGGGAACGAGTGATGAAAGATATGAAAGAAATAAATAGCAGAGCGTAGAAGGGGGAAGAAAGGAGAAGGAAGGGAAAGACATGTTGACCCCACAGGAGCAGCCCCACTGCGTTTGCTGGGGTGACAAGGGGGCGGAAGAGAGCGGGGTCTTCATTCTCGGGGATCATCTGGGGCAGGGATCTTCTGGCGGGTGGGCTCCACGCCCCAGATCTCGCGGGCGTACTGGGCGATGGTGCGGTCGCTGGAGAATTTCCCTGAAGTGGCAATGTTCTTAATGACCTTCTTGGTCCACTCCTTGGTGTTCTGCAGGCAGAGAGAGAGAGAGCGAGTGGGTGAAGAGTGGGAGGGGAAAAGCTTCCCCTTCAACATGGCATGGAATCCTAGAGTTGGAAGGGACCCCAACAGCTATCCGGTCCAACCCCCTTCTGCCACAATCAAAGCATCCCAGACAGATGGCCATCCAACCTCTGTAATAATAATAATAATAATAATAATAATAATAATAATAATAACAACAACAACAACAGAGCTGAAAGAGACCCAAGGGCCACCCAGTGCAAACCCCTCCTGCCAGGCAGGAAGACACAATCAAAGCATTATCGACGATGACCATCCAGTCTCTGTAATACTACTACTACTACTACTACTAATAATAATAATAATAATAATAATAATAATAATAATAATAATAGAGTTGGAAGAGACCCCAAGGGCCACCCAGTGCAAGACCTCAAGGGGACCATCTAGTCCGACACCCTTCTGCCAGGCAGGAAGACACAATCAAAGAATTCTTGACAGATGACCATCCAATCTCTGTAATACTACTACTATTATTACTTCTACTACTGCTAATAATAATAATAATAATGATAATAATAATAATAATAATAATAATAATAATAATAATAATAGAGTTGGAGGAGACCCCAAGAGCCACCCAGTACAAACTCCTTCTGCCAGGCAGGAAGACACAATCAAAGTATCCCAACAGATGGCCATCCAGTCTCTCTAATACTAATAATACTAGTAATACTACTACTACTAATATTAATAATAATAATAGAGTTGGAGGAGACCCCAAGGGCTACCCAGTGCAAACCCCTTCTTCCAGGCAGTAAGACACAATCAAAGTATTCCTGACAGATGGCCATCCAGTCTCTCTAATACTAATAATACTAATAATACTAATAATAACAATAATAACAATAATAACAATAATAATAGAGTTGGAAGAAACCCCAAGAGCCACCCAGTGCAAACTCCTTCTGCGAGGCAGGAAGACACAATCCAAGTATTCCCAGCAGATGGCCATTCCGTCTCTCTAATACTAATAATACTACTACTACTAATAATAATAATAATAATAATACCAATAATAATAATAATAATAATAATAATAATAATAATAATAATAATAATAGAGTTGGAGGAGACCCCAAGAGCCACTCAATGCAAACCCCTTCTGCCAGGCAGGCACAATCCAAGTATTCCCGACAGATGGCCATCAGTGCAAACCCCTTCTGCCAGGCAGGAAGACACAATCCAAGTATTCCCAGCAGATGGCCATTCCGTCTCTCTAATACTACTACTACTACTACTACTACTACTAATAATAATAATAATAATAATAGAGTTGGAGGAGACCCCAAGAGCCACTCAATGCAAACCCCTTCTGGCAGGCAGGAAGACACAATCAAAGCATTCTTGACAGATGACCATCCAGCCTCTGTAATACTATTACTACTACTACTACTATTAACAACAACAACAACAACAACAGAGTTGGAAGAGACTCAAGGCCCACCCAGTGCAAACCCCTCCTGCCAAGCAGGAAGACACAATCAGAGCATTCCTGACAGATGGCCATCCAACCTCTATAATAATAATACTAATACTAATAATAATAGAGTTGGGAATGACCCCAAGGGCCACCCAGTGCAAACCCCTTCTGCCAGGCAGGAAGACACAATCAAAGTATCCCGACAGATGGCCATCCAGTCTCTCTAATACTAATAATACTAATAATACAAATAATACTAATACTAATAATACCATCCAGTCTCTCTAATACTAATAATACTAATACTAATAGAGTTGGAGGAGACCCCAAGAGCCACCCAGTGCAAACCCCTTCTGCCAGGCAGGAAGACACAATCAAAGTATCCCGACAGATGGCCATCCAGTCTCTCTAATACTAATAATACTAATAATACTAATAACACTAATACTAATGATACTAATGATACTAATAATACTAATAATAACAATAATAACAATAATAATAGAGTTGGAGGAAACCCCAAGAGCCACCCAAAGCAAACTCCTTCTGCCAGGCAGGCACAATCCAAGTATTCCCGACAGATGGCCATCCAGTCTCACTAATACTAATACTACTACTACTACTACTACTACTAATAATAATAATAATAATAATAATAATAATAATAATAATAATAATAGAGTTGGAGGAGACCCCAAGAGCCACCCAGTGCAAACCCCTTCTGGCAGGCAGGAAGACACAATCAAAGTATCCCGACAGATGGCCATCCAGTCTCTCTAATACTAATAATACTAATAATACTGACGCCAGAATACTACTACTACTACTACTACTAATAATAATAATAATAATAATAATACCATCCAGTCTCTCTAATACTAATAATACTAATACTAATAGAGTTGGAGGAGACCCCAAGAGCCACCCAGTGCAAACCCCTTCTGGCAGGCAGGAGGACACAACCAAAGCACTCCCAACAGATGGCCATCCAGCCTTTGCTTAGACACCACCACCACAAAAGTAGCATATTATCAGGACGTTCTTCCTAATGTTGAGGTGGAACCTCTTCCCTGGCAATTTGGATCCATTATTCCTCCATTGCCTCTGAGCTTCCCCAACCTGATGGGAGTTGTAGTGTGTGACTCACGCAAACAGTGAGTCCTTTGTGACCCTGTTATTCCGCTGCCACCCCGACTGGGCATCGCAGGGGGTCCCAACTCACCTTATAAAGAGCGCTGACCTTCTCTTGACATTTGATGTACGCATCGTAATCAGCAAAGACTTTGAACCTACAGAGAGGAAGGAAGAGAAGTGGGTAGAAACTATTATTATTATTATTATTATTATTATTATTATTATTATTAGCGGTAATAATAATCCATTTTTCGCCGCGGGAAACAGACAGCATATAGCAAGAGCTCAAAAAATATTTTGCCAAGTCTAGTCCCGGTCACCTGGGCTCACCTGTCGTGATACATGAGCATGTTGACGATGTCCTTAAAGAGGTCCGGCTGCTTGGGAGAGAAGAAGCCACTGCTCATCTGGTCGATGGCTTGCTTCAGCTCGGGGAGGTGGTCGTAGTAATCCTTGGCACAATAGCTGCGGGGAGAAAAAACATAAGAGTTGAAAGAAACCTCCAAGGTCCATCCAGTCCAACCCGTCCTGACAGATGACCTTCCAGCCTCTGCTTAGAACCCTCCAGAGAGGGACTCCCAGGCTCTTCGTATCAGGAGGTTCTTCTTAATGCTTGCTCGCTCCTCAGTGTGACATTCTTTCAGATATTTGAACATGGCTCTCGTGCCTTATTTTCGCCAGGCCAAACATGCCCAGCTCCTTAAGCCGCTCCTCATAGGGATTGGCTTCCAGACCTTTGGTCATCTCTGGACCCTTTCCATCTTGTCCATCTCCTTCTTGTTATTCCAGGTGACGTCTGGCCAAAGTGGAAGAGAGTTGGACTATGGCTTCCCCCAATTTAGACACTCTACTCCTATAGAGGCAGCCTAATAATAATAATATTTGCAGTAATAATAATAATAATAATAATAATATAAATAATATAATAATAATATTTGTCTAGTAATAATAATATTTGATGTGGACTTACCTTGTTGTGTTCCAAATAATAATAATAATAATAATAATAATAATAATAATAATAATAATATATTATTATTATTATTATTAATAATAATAATAATAATAATAATATTATATTTGTCTAGTAATAATAATATTTGATGTGGACTTATCTTGTTGTGTTTCAAATAATAATAATAATAATATATTTGTCTAATAATAATAATATTTGATGTGGACCTATCTTGTTGTATTTCAAATAATAATAATAATAATAATATATTATTGTGGACTTATCTTGTGTTTCTAATATTATTATTATTGTTATTATTATATTTGTCTAATAATAATAATATTTGATGTGGACTTATCTTGTTGTGTTTCTAATAATAATAATAATAATAATAATAATAATAATAATAATATTTGATGTGGACTTACCTTGTTGTATTTCAAATAATAATAATAATAATATATTATTATTATTGTGGACTTATCTTGTGTTTCTAATATTATTATTATTGTTATTATTATATTTGTCTAATAATAATCATATTTGATGTGGACTTATCTTGTTGTGTTTCAAATAATAATAATAATAATAATAATAATAATAATAATGTGATCCAGTACAACAACCAGCACAGTGATCTTGTTTGCTGTGTCCTAATCTTGTTGTGTTTCTAATAATAATAATAATAATAAAATGCAGAGCCAACCTTAAGAAATGAGGCCACAAAGTGGAGGCCACGACCTACTTAAACTTTGTGGTTTTTCCATACATCATCACTGTATTCTCAATTCACTTCTGACACAAATTAATAATAATTAATAATTATTTTATTATTTATTTTAATATTTTAATGAATTAATCATAAACAATTATTAATTTATTTTTATTTATTAATAATTAATTATAATTATTAATTAATATTAATAATATTAATTAATATTAATTAATATTAATAATATTAATTAATATTAATTATTAATAATCAATTAAAAATAAAGAAGGGTCACCACAGCACCTACCCCTTCCGGTCCAGCTCATCCACGTCTTCGACCCGCATGCCGAAAATGAAGAAGTTCTCCTCGCCGGCTTCCTCCGCCATTTCCACGTTGGCCCCGTCCATGGTGCCGATGGTGAGCGCCCCGTTGAGCATGAATTTCATGTTCCCGGTCCCAGAGGCCTCCGTGCCGGCCGTAGAGATCTGCTCAGAGAGATCCGCAGCAGGGACCACTGAGGAAAGAGGCCAAAAGAAAGGCATCTCAGCTTTCCATCCTAAATTGTGTTTCCTCCACCACAGACATCCCAGTGTAAACATGTCCAAGAGCCCTGCCAATGTCCTCTCCAAATACCATCCTGCCCACCACCCAAGTGAAGGCTTTCATACGGGGATAATGCCATCCTAGATTCTATGTGTTTCCTCCACCACAGATACTCCAGTGTAAATATATCCAAGAGCCCTGCCAATGTCCTCTCCAAATACCATCCTGCCCACCACCCAAGTGAAGGCTTTCCTACGGGGACAATTCCACCCTAGATTGTATGTGTTTCCTCCACCACAGACATCCCAGTGTCAACATGTCCAAGAGCCCTGCCAATGTCCTCTCCAAATACCATCCTGCCCACCACCCAAGTGAAGGCTTTCCTACGGGGACAATTTCATCCTAGATTGTATGTGTTTCCTCCACCACAGACATCCCAGTGTAAACATGTCCAAGAGCCCTGCCAATGTCCTCTCCAAATACCATCCTGCCCACCACCCAAGGAATGCTTTCATTCGGGGACAATTCCATCCTAGATTGTATGTGTTTCCTCCACCACAGGCATCCCAGTGTAAACATGTCCAAGAGTCCTGCCAATGTCCTCTCCAAATACCATCCTGCCCACCACCCAAGGAATGCTTTCATTCGGGGACCATTCCATCCTAGATTTTATGTGTTTCCTCCACCACAGTCATCCCAATGCAAACATATCCAAGAGCCTTGCCAATGTCCTCTCCAAATACCATCCTGCCCACCACCCAAGTGAAGGCTTTCATATGGAACCAATTCCATCGTAGGTTGTATGTGTTTCCTCCACCACAGACATCCCAGTGTTAACATGTCCAAGAGCCCTGCCAATGTCCTCTCCAAATACCATCCTGCCCACCACCCAAGGAATGCTTTCATTCGGGGACAATTCCATCCTAGATTGTATGTGTTTCCTCCACCACAGGCATCCCAGTGTAAACATGTCCAAGAGTCCTGCCAATGTCCTCTCCAAATACCATCCTGCCCACCACCCAAGTGAAGGCTTTCATTCGGGGACAATTCCTTCCTAGATTGTATGTGTTTCCTCCACCACAGACATTCCAGTGTAAACATGTCCAAGACTTACCTTTCTCAGCAAGAGAGACCCGGTAGTTCTCCAAGAAGATCACCTTCAGCCGATCGCCAATGACGGGATCGTTGTTGACAATGTCGCCAATAGAAGTGATGAGCTTGATGATCATTTTTGCCATATGGTAGCCAGGAGCGGCCTGCGAGGCAAGATGGGAGGCACTGATGAAAGGCAAGCCTATAGAGTCCTTATTAGGGAACTCTTATGCTACGAGGGTTGAATGAAAAGTAATGCCTCCACCTGCGTTACTTGGGTTTGGGTGGGAATATTTTAATAAATCAAACGCAGGAATAATCCTTAGAATGTGCTCTTTAACTCCCACTATTCGCTTTTCCACATCATCACCAGACAATAGGATACATTTCTGCCAACGATGAACGAGTTATTTGAAGCCGTTACAGAAGAAGTCGACACTCTGTTTCCGCAACTAGCGTCTCCCAGTTCTCTCGACGTCTTCGTCAGAAGCATAACGATGTCCCCACAGATCTTCTTTCATTATCGGGAACAGATGGAAGTCAGATGGTGCTAAATCTGGACTGTACGGTGGTGAGATCCAGTCTCTGACGTTTCAAGTCTGTGCGCTTTCATTTCAGGCGTCAGCATCCTGGGTACCCATCGTGCACAGATCTTCCGATAGCCAAGCAAAGCAATAATGTGACCCACACGTTCTTGTGAAATGCTGATTATGCTTGAAATTTCTCTCTGAGAGATACGACGATCGTCCTGAATCAATCTGTCAACCTTTTGCTTGTGAAACTCGGTGGTTGCTGTCACAGGACGCTCAACTCTTTGTTCCCATCTCAACATCTTTAAACTTTCTCACCCAACGGCGCACAGTACTCACAGCAACACAATCACCATAAACAGCTTGCATTCTCGGAGGAATCTCCCTTTGGGGTGACACCTTCTGCTGTCAAGAATTCAATGACTGCACGTTGCTTAAGTCGCATTGACTGACCAAACTGGAACTGTAGAGGAGAGTCTACTGAACAAGCCAGTACCTGCCGCATACGTTGCTTAAGTCGCATTAACCGACAGTCTGTGCAGGGTTCCATACTTCGCACTTTGACAACACAACCGTTCAATGATAAGGCTTCCTGCCAAAAGGGAACTGTAGAGGAGAGTCTACTGAACAAGCCAGTACCTGCTGCATACGTTGCTTAAGTTGCATTGACCAACTGTCTGCACAGGGTTCCATACTTCGCACTTTAACAACAAAATCGTTCAATGCTAAGGCTTCACACCAAAATGGAACTGTTGAAGAGAGTCTACTGAACAAGCCAGAACCTGCCGCATACGTTGCTTAAGTCGCATTGACCGACCGTCTGTGTAGGGTTCCATACTTCGCACTTTAACAACACAACCGTTCAATGCTAAGGCTTCCTGCCAAAAGGGAACTGTAGAGGAGAGTCTACTGAACAAGCCAGTACCTGCCGTATACGTTGCTTACGTCGCATTGACCGACCGTCTGTGTAGGGTTCCATACTTCGCACTTTAACAACACAACCGTTCAATGCTAAGGCTTCCCACCAAAAGGGAACTGTAGAGGAGAGTTTACTGAACAAGCCAGTACCTGCCACACACCAGTACTGCCATCTGTTGAGGAGTTACGAAGGTGGGGGCATTACTTTTCACCTTAACAACACAACCGTTCAATGCTAAGGCTTCCTGCCAAAATGGAATGGTAGAGGAGAGTCTACTGAACAAGCCAGTACCTGTCCCATACCAGTACTGCCATCTGTTGAGGAGTTACGAAGGTGGAGGCATTACTTTTTATTCAACCCTCGTACTTTATGCCTCTCATGTGATCCACCCCCTGCCCAACATCACCCTCGCCCCCAATCCTGGTTGTTCTTGTTTCCTCACTTTGCCTCCGATCATGATTGTCCGCGGCACAAAATGCTTGTTTGGTTCTTTCTTGATCCCTGCAATGGGATGGGGAAGGACAACAACACCAAAGGGAGATTGAGAAAGAGGGAGGGAAGGAAGGAAGGAAGGAAAGAAGGAAGGAAGGAAGGAAGGAAAGAAGGAAGGAAAGAAGGGAGGAAGGAAGGAAGGAAGGAAGAAGGAAGGAAAGAAGGAAAGAGGAAGGAGGAAGGAAGAAGGAAAAGGAAGGAAAGAAGGAGGAAAGGAAGGAAAGAAGGAAGGAAAGAAGGAAGGAGAGGAAGAGGAAGGAAGGAAGGAAGGAAGGAAGGAAGGAAGGAAGGAAAGAAAGGAAGAAGAAGGAAGGAAGGAAGGAAGAAAAGAAGGAAGGAAGGAAGGAAGGAAGGAAAGAAAGAAGGAAGGAAGGAAAGAAGAAAAAAAGAAAGGAAGGAAAGAAGGAAGGAAGAAAGGGGAGGAGGAGAAGGAAGGGAAAGAAGAAGGAAGGAAGGAAAGAAGGAAGGAAGGAAGGAAGGAAGGAAGGAAGGAAAGAAGGAAGGAAGGAAGGAAAGAAGGCAGGAAGTAAGTAAGTAAGTAAGTAAGTAAGTAAGGAAGGAAGGAAGGAAGGAAGGAAGGAAGGAAAGAAAGAAAGAAAAAGACTGTAACAGTGTGCATCCAAAGATGTGCACCCCAGGCAAGGGACTAACCCATTCCCATCACCAACCCTCCACTCCAGTGTCATCGAACTGGATAACTCTTGGAGTCTCTTCCAACTCTTATTATTATTATTATTATTATTATTATTATTATTATTATTATTATTATGCTATGAAATGCCACTCACGGTTGTAGAAGGTGATGATGTGGAGGCAGTTGAGCAGCTGCCGCTTGTACTCGTGGATCCGCTTCACCTGGATATCGAAGAGCGAGTTGGGGTTGATCTTCACTTTGTACTCCTTCTCCAAGTAGGCCGAGAACTTCAATTTGTTCTCCTGAGAAGCAGAGGGAAGCCAACCGAGATTTGAGCAAAGGGCATCTTTTGAAATTATACTGCAGTTGCGGGCATCTCTGAAGGTCAAGTAAGTCAGTCGCGTAACCCGCAGCCCCTCTCACTGCTTTAGGTATATAGAGATAAGGAAACTGCAAATCAAATAAGGCACATGCGTCAAGTTTTAAAATGACACATTAATAAAACAGACAAACTTCAATTCCATCATTGGTGGAGTTCAGAATGCTCTTTGATTGTAGGTGAACTATACATCCCAGTAACTACACTTGCCACGTTTGCTCCCTTGCCGCCGCACCTGGCCCGCTTTGGGTCCGGAGGCGTGCCTGAAGACCCCGGCGTGTGCACCAAAAGTCACCTCTTCTCCTGACTTTCTCCTCAGCCATTGGGACCGAGAGAGAGAGAGAGAGAGAGAGAGAGGTGGAGATGCCCACCTTTCCTGAAGGTAGGCGCAAAAACAAAGGAGGGAGCGGAGGTGGGAGATACCTCCAGCCGGAGGGGCTCTCTCTCTCTCTCTCTCTTGGTCCCAATGGCTGAAGAGAAAGTCAGGAGAAGAGGCAACTTTTGGTGCGCACGCTGGACTCTTCAGACACGCCTCCGGACCCGGAGGAAGCGGAGGTGGGAGATACCTCCAGCCAGAGGGGCTCTCTCTCTCTCTCTCTCTCTCTTGGTCCCAATGGCTGAAGAGAAAGTCAGGAGAAGAGGCGACTTTTGGTGCGCACGCTGGGGTCTTCAGACACGCCTCCGGACCCAAAGTGGGCCAGGCATGGCGGCTCCGCCCCTTGGCCCAAGCACGGATTGGGGAGAGGAGAGGAGGTGGGTGGAGCGCCGGGGGATCGGGAAAGGGAGCCGGTCATGGGGAAGGGATTGAACACGGAGAAAGATTGAGTGCCGGCTCTGCTCGCGCACCCTGTGGCCGGGTGGAGCAGGAACGAGAGGGGCGAGGCGAGGCTCAAGGGCCCGGCCCCTTTGGGAAGAGAATCGCCCGGCAGCGAGGCAAGAAAGCCGAGGCTCCCCCCGGACTGCTAGGGCTGTTGTGAGCTGAGGGGGCGCTCCTCAAGTGGCGGTCGAGGGGCATTTACAGAGGCGCCTCTGCGCCCCTGGCAAAAAAAAAGTGTTCTGCAACCGCTTACTTTGCGTAATGGACAAGCCGCCCCTGTTTATATTAAATGTTTGCTTGCAGCCCTAGGTTTCAGGGACTCTGCAGATAGGTGGCTTCCTTTGGTTGCAGTCATAGGGCAAGTCACCTGTCCATCGTTAAGTTTTGGTCCCGCCCCTAGCTCAGGGCAATTGGGAAGGGAAGGGAGCCATTTTTTAGTTAGTCTCAGCAAGGAAAGCTAATGTACAGGACGTGTGCAAGCTTCCCCTGAACAAAAGCTTCAACCCTTAAAACTTTCTGGGGGGAAACAGTAGGCTTGGTTGATCAAGAAAAAAAAATGGTTCTAAACTCGTTTTGTATGTAGGGGGCGCTGGAGGTTCGATTTTTAAATTATTTCCGAAATTTTCTTTAAAAATAGATCGAAATTACCAGGAAATACGAATCGTTTCCTTTGTTTCGTTAATGAAAGGTGCCCTTCCTTCCCTCCAGAACCATTAAAATCTCGCAGTTTCCCTTCCTTCCCTTGCGGCAGAAGGGAGAGGTGGGCGTGGCCAAGCACAGCCCTCCTCGGAGGACTCGCCCCCAGTGACCTCCGAGCGAGGAGCGCTGTGCTTGGCCACGCCCACCTCCTTCCTCTTTGCATCGGCGGCTTTGCGAGGTGGGCGTGGCTACGCCCAGCTCTTCTGCATCGCCACTTGTCGCCAGGGAGGTAGCCACGCCCACCTCGCAAAGCTGCCGATGCAAAGAGGAAGGAGGTGGCTGTGGGTAAGAACAGCTGTTCCTTCCATTCTAATCTTTTGCGATTACAGTTTTCCTTCTTAATGGTTCTTTCCTTCCAGTTCCTTCCCATCCATCATTCCAACCTCTCTGCTTCTATTTCTTTTCATAGTCCGCGAAAAGTTTCCAATTTGTCTGTTTTATTGGATTTTGTTGTGGCTGAGCTAGTTTCTGACGATGAGGATGATGGGATTCAGATTCCTGTTGGGTTTCAGCTTCCTGGCTCTTTGTCTGTGCCTCAAATCTCTGAGCCTGCTTCCGAGGCTCTCACAGACAGTGCAGTGTCAACACAGCTGTTTTCACCAGAAAAGAATTTTAACGAAGGGAATAGCGAGCAGGTTCCTTCCCACGATAATACCGAAAGTGCAGATAAGGATTTGACCCAAGAAGCTCGCCTTGATCTCTGGGTCAGGCGGAGTTCGCGTCTGGCAAGCAGACGGGAGGCTAGCTTGGTGCAAGGTCAACGCAATGCTTTTATGATGCTGAGAGCCTAATGTTTTGATGTTAGAAAGGTATTTAGGCCTCCTGGAAACTCTGTGAAAGTGTCAGTTCAACGTAGCTTACTAGCCTGAAAGCTTCATGGAATAACCTTAGCTGGGAAAGCAGTACGCTTGGGATTTCTTGCATTGTGATTTTTGGGGCTAAAGTTTCATTGCTTGTACCTGGGACTCTGCCAATAGGATTATGTCTCCTGCTTTTACCCGAAGATCTTTGGAACTGCATTCTGCGTTTAACCTTAATCTCTGGGACTTTACAATGCTTATTCTTTATTTTGACTTGGATTTTTTCCTCAATAAACTATAAAACTACAGCTCTTGTGTTGTGGTGTTTAGAAGCAAGGTGAAACCTACTCTGAGTTGCAACAGATTTCCCAAATTCTTCTTAATTAAAAAAGTTAATTTCTCCATGTCTTTAATCTCTCACACTCACGCTCTCAGGGGAGCGTGCTTGCTCCATCCATGTCCAACATCTACACAAATGACCAGCCACTGCCAGACTACAGGGAAAACCAACTGAACCCTAATCCATCTAAAACACAGACATGTGCCTTTCACCTTAAGAACAGCTCTGAGGATTATGACCTGGGAAGGAATCCCACTGGAGCATTGCAGCGCACCCAAATACCTCGGAGTCACTCTGGACCGTGCTGTGACCTACAAGAAGCACTGCCTGAACATCAAGCAAAAAGTTGGTGCCAGAAACAACATCATACGAAAGCTGACTGGCACAACCTGGGGATCACAACCAGACACAGTGAAGACATCTGCCCTTGCGCTGTGCTACTCTGCTGCTGAGTATGCATGCCCAGTGTGGAACACATCTCACCACACTAAAACAGTGAATGTGGCTCTTAATGAGACATGCTGCATTATCACGGGGTGTCTGCGCCCCACACCACTGGAGAAATTACACTGCTTAGCCAATATCGCACCACTTGACATCCGCCGGGAAGTGGCAGCCAATAGTGAAAGGACCAAGGCAGAGACATCCCCAGCTCATCCCCTGTTTGGGTATCAGCCAGCACGTCAATGACTTAAATCTAGAAATAGTTTTCTAAGATCTACAAAGACACTCGCTGAAACACCTCAGCAAGCAAGAGTCCAAAAGTGGCAGGCTCAAACCCAGCACCTCAACCAATGGCTGATACCAGATGAGAAACTCCCACCTGGGCACACAAAAGACTGGGCGACTTGGAGGGCGCTGAACAGACTGCGCTCTGGCACCACGAGATGCAGAGCCAGCCTTAAGAAATGGGGCTACAAAGTGGAATCCTTGACATGTGAGTGTGGAGAAGAGCAAACTACTGACCACCTGCTGCAATGCAACCTGAGCCCTGCCACTTGCACCATGGAGGACCTTCAGAGGGATTCAGAGGGCCCAGAGATTCAGAGGGCCCAGAGGAGACTGGAAACAGCCCAGAGAGAGATGTTTTGGAATCTCCTGGGAGCTCCCAAGAGAACAGTGAAGGCAATATCCATTCCCATGGGAACCTGTCAGAAGTACAGACTGAGGGAAATTTGGGAGATGAATGCTTGTCGAGGTCAAAGAGATTGGAGTTGAGGAAACAGGGCCTGCAATTAAGACAGACTCATTTCTCCAAGCAACTTACAGATAATGAACGGGAACCCAGGTGCAGGAGAAACGATGTCATGGGAGGGATTCCTCACTTGATTCCTCCCAATTCTTTTTTATTTTATTTTAAATTTATTTTTATTGAAGATTTTTTTTAAAACGTGGTGGAACAAAGTGATTAAAGAAAAGTAGAAAAGAAAGAAAAGGGGGAGAAAAAGAAAGGGAAAAAAAGGAGGAAAGGTCTGTTGACTTCCATTCTAATCCTTCGCGATTACAGTTTTCCTCCTTAATGGTTCTTTCCTTCCAGTCCCTTCCCAACCATCATTCCAACTTCTCTCATTCTATTTATTTTCATAGTCCTCAAAAAGTTTCCAATTTGTCTGTTTTATTGGATTTCCCGAATTCTTCTTAATTAAAAAAGTTAATTTGTCCATGTCTTTAATCTCTCTCACTTTATATATCCAATTGTCTATATCTGGTGCCTCCTCAAAGCTTCCAAAATTTTGCATATGAAATCCTCGCGGCAGTTGTCACATATGTAAATAAGATGTGTAAAATCAACTCTGAGTCTAGGATATCTAATACATAGTATTCCGGCTTCCTAAGAAAGTTCATTTTGAGAATTTTTTGGCATTCCTCGTGGATTGTTTCCCAATCTCTTGATTCCTCCCCATTCTTGAGCCATTACCGCTTACCTGCTTGACTTTCGCAACGTCCCGGATGAAACCTTCATCTTCCACGAAGGCGAGAAGTTTCTTCAGCTGATCCAAGTCCGAGATGTAGTCCTCGCCAATGCGCTGGAGGAGGAAATAACAATGGGGAGCTTCGGAGAAGGTCGCAATAACGGCTGCTGTCTAAATCAGAGCAAGAGCATTCCAGCGGGGAAGCATGCGGGGAATGCGGAAGTGCATCATCAGCGTCACAGATGGACAATGAAAGCGACAGCTCCCCTGGTGGCCAGAAAAAGTTAAATAGCCTCTGTGTATGTCTGTATATGTTTCTATGTCCAAAAATTGGTACTGAATCTTTGCCATATATGTGTACACTGTAATCCGCCCTGAGTCCCCTGCGGGGTGAGGAGAAGGGCGGAATAGAAAAGCTGTAAATAAATAAAATAAATAAATTCTAGGAACAATAACATTGTTCTTCTCGTGTTCTTCTGCCTCACCTCCGCAATGATCTCGGCCAGCCCTGGGTTGCACAAAACCAGCCAACGCCGCGGGGTGATGCCGTTGGTTTTGTTCTGGAACTTGTGGGGCTCGAACTCGTAGAAATCTTTAAACCTGCAGAAGGCAGGCAGGGCGAAAGGGTAGAAGAAAGAAAGGATGAAAAGAAAAAGAGAGAGAATCTGGCAACAGAAAGAGTGGGGTGAGTGGGGAGGAACAAAAGGAAACATCAGAGTAATACTGTTTTGAAGTCAAAGGAGATTCATTTTGCAACAGAAGACACTAGGCTTGTTTGATCCAAAAAAAAAGGGTTCAAAACTCATTTCGGATAGTGGTTTGATTCTAAAGTCAATTCTGATTTCCACAGGAAAAAATGTTCAAAACTTTTTGAAACTTCTGAGACTTCCGAATCCTTTCGTTAATGGTTTGAAAGTGTTATTGCCTGTTTCATTGGATGGTCTTTACTTTGAAAGTAATTGTTTTACTCCAGGAGTGGGAAAAAGCAAGTTGAGGAAATTCCTTCCTTCTCTGGTTTAAAACTGGCTTCTCTGGTTTTAAAACTGGCTTCTCTGGCTAGAGCCGAGGCCAGAAAATTCCTTCCTTCTCTGGTTTAAAACTGGCTTCTCTGGCTTGAGCCGAGGCCAGGGACCAGAAGTGGGGAAAAGCAAGTGGAGGAAATTCCTTCCTTCTCTGGTTTAAAACTGGCTTCTCCAGCTTGAGCCAAGACCAGGGACCAGAAGTGGGAAAAGCAAGTGGAGGAAATTCCTTCCTTCTCTGGTTTAAAACTGGCTTCTCTGGCTTAAGCGAAGACCAGGAAATTCCTTCCTTCTCTGGTTTAAAACTGGCTTCTCTGGCTTAAGCGAAGACCAGGAAATTCCTTCCTTCTCTGGTTGATAACTGACTTCTCTGGCTTTAAACCTGGCTTCTCTGGCTGAGCCGAGACCAGGGATCAGAAGTGGGAAAAGCAAGTGGAGGAAATTCCTTCCTTCTCCGGTTTAAAACTGGCTTCTCCAGCTTGAGCCGAGACCAGGGACCAGAAGCGGGAAAAGCAAGTGGAGGAAATTCCTTCCTTCTCCGGTTTAAAACTGGCTTCTCTGGCTTTAAACCTGGCTTCTCTGGCTGAGCCGAGACCAGGGATCAGAAGTGGGAAAAGCAAGTGGAGGAAATTCCTTCCTTCTCCGGTTTAAAACTGGCTTCTCCAGCTTGAGCCGAGACCAGGGACCAGAAGCGGGAAAAGCAAGTGGAGGAAATTCCTTCCTTCTCCGGTTTAAAACTGGCTTCTCTGGCTTGAGCTGGAAGCGGAAAAAGCAAAGGGAGGAAATTCACCCTTCCCTGGTTTAAAACTGGCTTCTCTGGCTTGAGGCAAAAGTGGGGAAAGCAAAGGGAGGAAATTCACCCTTCCCTGGTTTAAAACTGGCTTCTCTGGCTTGAGGCAGAAGCGGGGAAAGCAAAGGGAGGAAATTCATCCTTCCCTGGTTTAAAACTGGCTTCTCTGGCTTGAGGCAAAAGTGGGGAAAGCAAAGGGAGGAAATTCATCCTTCCCTGGTTTAAAACTGGCTTCTCTGGCTTGAGGCAGAAGCGGGGAAAGCAAAGGGAGGAAATTCATCCTTCCCTGGTTTAAAACTGGCTTCTCTGGCTTGAGGAAGAAGCGGGGAAAGCAAAGGGAGGAAATTCATCCTTCCCTGGTTTAAAACTGGCTTCTCTGGCTTGAGGCAAAAGTGGGGAAAGCAAAGGGAGGAAATTCACCCTTCCCTGGTTTAAAACTGGCTTCTCTGGCTTAAGGCAGAAGCGGGGAAAGCAAAGGGAGGAAATTCATCCTTCCCTGGTTTAAAACTGGCTTCTCTGGCTTGAGGCAGAAGCGGGGAAAGCAAAGGGAGGAAATTCATCCTTCCCTGGTTTAAAACTGGCTTCTCTGGCTTGAGGCAGAAGCGGGGAAAGCAAAGGGAGGAAATTCATCCTTCCCTGGTTTAAAACTGGCTTCTCTGGCTTGAGGAAGAAGCGGGGAAAGCAAAGGGAGGAAATTCATCCTTCCCTGGTTTAAAACTGGCTTCTCTGGCTTGAGGCAAAAGTGGGGAAAGCAAAGGGAGGAAATTCACCCTTCCCTGGTTTAAAACTGGCTTCTCTGGCTTGAGGCAGAAGCGGGGAAAGCAAAGGGAGGAAATTCACCCTTCCTTGGTTTAAAACTGGCTTCTCTGGCTTGAGGCAGAAGTGGGGAAAGCAAAGGGAGGAAATTCACCCTTCCTTGGTTTAAAACTGGCTTCTCTGGCTTGAGGCAGAAGCGGGGAAAGCAAAGGGAGGAAATTCATCCTTCCCTGGTTTAAAACTGGCTTCTCTGGCTTGAGGCAGAAGCGGGGAAAGCAAAGGGAGGAAATTCATCCTTCCCTGGTTTAAAACTGGCTTCTCTGGCTTGAGGCAGAAGCGGGGAAAGCAAAGGGAGGAAATTCATCCTTCCCTGGTTTAAAACTGGCTTCTCTGGCTTGAGGCAAAAGTGGGGAAAGCAAAGGGAGGAAATTCATCCTTCCCTGGTTTAAAACTGGCTTCTCTGGCTTGAGGCAGAAGCGGGGAAAGCAAAGGGAGGAAATTCACCCTTCCCTGGTTTAAAACTGGCTTCTCTGGCTTAAGGCAGAAGCGGGGAAAGCAAAGGGAGGAAATTCACCCTTCCCTGGTTTAAAACTGGCTTCTCTGGCTTAAGGCAGAAGCGGGGAAAGCAAAGGGAGGAAATTCATCCTTCCCTGGTTTAAAACTGGCTTCTCTGGCTTGAGGAAGAAGCGGGGAAAGCAAAGGGAGGAAATTCATCCTTCCCTGGTTTAAAACTGGCTTCTCTGGCTTGAGGAAGAAGCGGGGAAAGCAAAGGGAGGAAATTCATCCTTCCCTGGTTTAAAACTGGCTTCTCTGGCTTGAGGAAGAAGCGGGGAAAGCAAAGGGAGGAAATTCATCCTTCCCTGGTTTAAAACTGGCTTCTCTGGCTTAAGGCAGAAGCGGGGAAAGCAAAGGGAGGAAATTCATCCTTCCCTGGTTTAAAACTGGCTTCTCTGGCTTAAGGCAGAAGCGGGGAAAGCAAAGGGAGGAAATTCATCCTTCCCTGGTTTAAAACTGGCTTCTCTGGCTTGAGCCAGAAGTGGGGAAAGCAAAGGGAGGAAATTCATCCTTCCCTGGTTTAAAACTGGCTTCTCTGGCTTAAGGCAGAAGCGGGGAAAGCAAAGGGAGGAAATTCATCCTTCCCTGGTTTAAAACTGGCTTCTCTGGCTTGAGGAAGAAGCGGGGAAAGCAAAGGGAGGAAATTCATCCTTCCCTGGTTTAAAACTGGCTTCTCTGGCTTGAGGCAGAAGCGGGGAAAGCAAAGGGAGGAAATTCATCCTTCCCTGGTTTAAAACTGGCTTCTCTGGCTTGAGGCAGAAGCGGGGAAAGCAAAGGGAGGAAATTCATCCTTCCCTGGTTTAAAACTGGCTTCTCTGGCTTGAGGCAGAAGCGGGGAAAGCAAAGGGAGGAAATTCAGCCCTTCCCTGGTTTAAAACTGGCTTCTCTGGCTTGAGGCAGAAGCGGGGAAAGCAAAGGGAGGAAATTCAGCCTTCCCTGGTTTAAAACTGGCTTCTCTGGCTTGAGGAAGAAGCGGGGAAAGCAAAGGGAGGAAATTCATCCTTCCCTGGTTTAAAACTGGCTTCTCTGGCTTGAGGAAGAAGCGGGGAAAGCAAAGGGAGGAAATTCATCCTTCCCTGGTTTAAAACTGGCTTCTCTGGCTTGAGGCAAAAGTGGGGAAAGCAAAGGGAGGAAATTCATCCTTCCCTGGTTTAAAACTGGCTTCTCTGGCTTAAGGCAGAAGCGGGGAAAGCAAAGGGAGGAAATTCATCCTTCCCTGGTTTAAAACTGGCTTCTCTGGCTTAAGGCAGAAGCGGGGAAAGCAAAGGGAGGAAATTCACCCTTCCCTGGTTTAAAACTGGCTTCTCTGGCTTGAGGAAGAAGCGGGGAAAGCAAAGGGAGGAAATTCATCCTTCCCTGGTTTAAAACTGGCTTCTCTGGCTTGAGGAAGAAGCGGGGAAAGCAAAGGGAGGAAATTCATCCTTCCCTGGTTTAAAACTGGCTTCTCTGGCTTGAGGCAAAAGTGGGGAAAGCAAAGGGAGGAAATTCACCCTTCCCTGGTTTAAAACTGGCTTCTCTGGCTTAAGGCAGAAGCGGGGAAAGCAAAGGGAGGAAATTCATCCTTCCCTGGTTTAAAACTGGCTTCTCTGGCTTGAGGAAGAAGCGGGGAAAGCAAAGGGAGGAAATTCATCCTTCCCTGGTTTAAAACTGGCTTCTCTGGCTTAAGGCAGAAGCGGGGAAAGCAAAGGGAGGAAATTCATCCTTCCCTGGTTTAAAACTGGCTTCTCTGGCTTAAGGCAGAAGCGGGGAAAGCAAAGGGAGGAAATTCATCCTTCCCTGGTTTAAAACTGGCTTCTCTGGCTTGAGGAAGAAGCGGGGAAAGCAAAGGGAGGAAATTCATCCTTCCCTGGTTTAAAACTGGCTTCTCTGGCTTAAGGCAGAAGCGGGGAAAGCAAAGGGAGGAAATTCATCCTTCCCTGGTTTAAAACTGGCTTCTCTGGCTTGAGGAAGAAGCGGGGAAAGCAAAGGGAGGAAATTCATCCTTCCCTGGTTTAAAACTGGCTTCTCTGGCTTGAGGCAGAAGCGGGGAAAGCAAAGGGAGGAAATTCATCCTTCCCTGGTTTAAAACTGGCTTCTCTGGCTTGAGGCAGAAGCGGGGAAAGCAAAGGGAGGAAATTCAGCCTTCCCTGGTTTAAAACTGGCTTCTCTGGCTTGAGGAAGAAGCGGGGAAAGCAAAGGGAGGAAATTCATCCTTCCCTGGTTTAAAACTGGCTTCTCTGGCTTGAGGAAGAAGCGGGGAAAGCAAAGGGAGGAAATTCATCCTTCCCTGGTTTAAAACTGGCTTCTCTGGCTTAAGGCAGAAGCGGGGAAAGCAAAGGGAGGAAATTCATCCTTCCCTGGTTTAAAACTGGCTTCTCTGGCTTGAGGAAGAAGCGGGGAAAGCAAAGGGAGGAAATTCATCCTTCCCTGGTTTAAAACTGGCTTCTCTGGCTTAAGGCAGAAGCGGGGAAAGCAAAGGGAGGAAATTCATCCTTCCCTGGTTTAAAACTGGCTTCTCTGGCTTGAGGAAGAAGCGGAGAAAGCAAAGGGAGGAAATTCATCCTTCCCTGGTTTAAAACTGGCTTCTCTGGCTTGAGGCAAAAGTGGGGAAAGCAAAGGGAGGAAATTCACCCTTCCCTGGTTTAAAACTGGCTTCTCTGGCTTAAGGCAGAAGCGGGGAAAGCAAAGGGAGGAAATTCATCCTTCCCTGGTTTAAAACTGGCTTCTCTGGCTTGAGCCAGAAGTGGGGAAAGCAAAGGGAGGAAATGCATCCTTCCCTGGTTTAAAACTGGCTTCTCTGGCTTGAGCCAGAAGTGGGGAAAGCAAAGGGAGGAAATGCATCCTTCCCTGGTTTAAAACTGGCTTCTCTGGCTTGAGGCAGAAGTGGGGAAAGCAAAGGGAGGAAATTCATCCTTCCCTGGTTTAAAACTGGCTTCTCTGGCTTGAGGCAGAAGCGGGGAAAGCAAAGGGAGGAAATTCATCCTTCCCTGGTTTAAAACTGGCTTCTCTGGCTTGAGGCAGAAGCGGGGAAAGCAAAGGGAGGAAATTCATCCTTCCCTGGTTTAAAACTGGCTTCTCTGGCTTAAGGCAGAAGCGGGGAAAGCAAAGGGAGGAAATTCATCCTTCCCTGGTTTAAAACTGGCTTCTCTGGCTTGAGGAAGAAGCGGGGAAAGCAAAGGGAGGAAATTCATCCTTCCCTGGTTTAAAACTGGCTTCTCTGGCTTGAGGCAAAAGTGGGGAAAGCAAAGGGAGGAAATTCACCCTTCCCTGGTTTAAAACTGGCTTCTCTGGCTTAAGGCAGAAGCGGGGAAAGCAAAGGGAGGAAATTCATCCTTCCCTGGTTTAAAACTGGCTTCTCTGGCTTCAAAAAAAAAAAAAAAAACCCCCCCCCCCCCCCCCCCCCCCCCCCCCCCCCCCCCCCCCCCCCCCCCCCCCCCCCCCCCCCCCCCCCCCCCCCCCCCCCCTCCTCTGGCTTAAGGCAGAAGCGGGGAAAGCAAAGGGAGGAAATTCATCCTTCCCTGGTTTAAAACTGGCTTCTCTGGCTTGAGGAAGAAGCGGGGAAAGCAAAGGGAGGAAATTCATCCTTCCCTGGTTTAAAACTGGCTTCTCTGGCTTGAGGAAGAAGCGGGGAAAGCAAAGGGAGGAAATTCACCCTTCCCTGGTTTAAAACTGGCTTCTCTGGCTTGAGGAAGAAGCGGGGAAAGCAAAGGGAGGAAATTCACCCTTCCCTGGTTTAAAACTGGCTTCTCTGGCTTGAGGAAGAAGCGGGGAAAGCAAAGGGAGGAAATTCACCCTTCCCTGGTTTAAAACTGGCTTCTCTGGCTTAAGGCAGAAGCGGGGAAAGCAAAGGGAGGAAATTCATCCTTCCCTGGTTTAAAACTGGCTTCTCTGGCTTGAGGAAGAAGCGGGGAAAGCAAAGGGAGGAAATTCATCCTTCCCTGGTTTAAAACTGGCTTCTCTGGCTTGAGGCAAAAGTGGGGAAAGCAAAGGGAGGAAATTCACCCTTCCCTGGTTTAAAACTGGCTTCTCTGGCTTAAGGCAGAAGCGGGGAAAGCAAAGGGAGGAAATTCATCCTTCCCTGGTTTAAAACTGGCTTCTCTGGCTTGAGGCAAAAGTGGGGAAAGCAAAGGGAGGAAATTCATCCTTCCCTGGTTTAAAACTGGCTTCTCTGGCTTAAGGCAGAAGCGGGGAAAGCAAAGGGAGGAAATTCATCCTTCCCTGGTTTAAAACTGGCTTCTCTGGCTTAAGGCAGAAGCGGGGAAAGCAAAGGGAGGAAATTCATCCTTCCCTGGTTTAAAACTGGCTTCTCTGGCTTAAGGCAGAAGCGGGGAAAGCAAAGGGAGGAAATTCATCCTTCCCTGGTTTAAAACTGGCTTCTCTGGCTTGAGGAAGAAGCGGGGAAAGCAAAGGGAGGAAATTCACCCTTCCCTGGTTTAAAACTGGCTTCTCTGGCTTGAGGCAGAAGCGGGGAAAGCAAAGGGAGGAAATTCATCCTTCCCTGGTTTAAAACTGGCTTCTCTGGCTTGAGGAAGAAGCGGGGAAAGCAAAGGGAGGAAATTCATCCTTCCCTGGTTTAAAACTGGCTTCTCTGGCTTGAGGAAGAAGCGGGGAAAGCAAAGGGAGGAAATTCACCCTTCCCTGGTTTAAAACTGGCTTCTCTGGCTTAAGGCAGAAGCGGGGAAAGCAAAGGGAGGAAATTCATCCTTCCCTGGTTTAAAACTGGCTTCTCTGGCTTAAGGCAGAAGCGGGGAAAGCAAAGGGAGGAAATTCATCCTTCCCTGGTTTAAAACTGGCTTCTCTGGCTTGAGGAAGAAGCGGGGAAAGCAAAGGGAGGAAATTCAGCCTTCCCTGGTTTAAAACTGGCTTCTCTGGCTTGAGGCAGAAGCGGGGAAAGCAAAGGGAGGAAATTCAGCCTTCCCTGGTTTAAAACTGGCTTCTCTGGCTTGAGGCAAGAAGCGGGGAAAGCAAAGGGAGGAAATTCATCCTTCCCTGGTTTAAAACTGGCTTCTCTGGCTTAAGGCAGAAGCGGGGAAAGCAAAGGGAGGAAATTCATCCTTCCCTGGTTTAAAACTGGCTTCTCTGGCTTGAGGAAGAAGCGGGGAAAGCAAAGGGAGGAAATTCATCCTTCCCTGGTTTAAAACTGGCTTCTCTGGCTTGAGGCAAAAGTGGGGAAAGCAAAGGGAGGAAATTCACCCTTCCCTGGTTTAAAACTGGCTTCTCTGGCTTAAGGCAGAAGCGGGGAAAGCAAAGGGAGGAAATTCATCCTTCCCTGGTTTAAAACTGGCTTCTCTGGCTTAAGGCAGAAGCGGGGAAAGCAAAGGGAGGAAATTCACCCTTCCCTGGTTTAAAACTGGCTTCTCTGGCTTGAGGAAGAAGCGGGGAAAGCAAAGGGAGGAAATTCATCCTTCCCTGGTTTAAAACTGGCTTCTCTGGCTTAAGGCAGAAGCGGGGAAAGCAAAGGGAGGAAATTCATCCTTCCCTGGTTTAAAACTGGCTTCTCTGGCTTGAGGAAGAAGCGGGGAAAGCAAAGGGAGGAAATTCATCCTTCCCTGGTTTAAAACTGGCTTCTCTGGCTTGAGGCAAAAGTGGGGAAAGCAAAGGGAGGAAATTCACCCTTCCCTGGTTTAAAACTGGCTTCTCTGGCTTAAGGCAGAAGCGGGGAAAGCAAAGGGAGGAAATTCACCCTTCCCTGGTTTAAAACTGGCTTCTCTGGCTTGAGGCAGAAGCGGGGAAAGCAAAGGGAGGAAATTCACCCTTCCCTGGTTTAAAACTGGCTTCTCTGGCTTAAGGCAGAAGCGGGGAAAGCAAAGGGAGGAAATTCATTCTTCCCTGGTTTAAAACTGGCTTCTCTGGCTTGAGGCAGAAGCGGGGAAAGCAAAGGGAGGAAATTCACCCTTCCCTGGTTTAAAACTGGCTTCTCTGGCTTAAGGCAGAAGCGGGGAAAGCAAAGGGAGGAAATTCACCCTTCCCTGGTTTAAAACTGGCTTCTCTGGCTTAAGGCAGAAGCGGGGAAAGCAAAGGGAGGAAATTCACCCTTCCCTGGTTTAAAACTGGCTTCTCTGGCTTAAGGCAGAAGCGGGGAAAGCAAAGGGAGGAAATTCACCCTTCTCCGGTTTAAAACTGGCTTCTCTGGCTTAAGGCAGAAGCGGGGAAAGCAAAGGGAGGAAATTCATCCTTCCCTGGTTTAAAACTGGCTTCTCTGGCTTAAGGCAGAAGCGGGGAAAGCAAAGGGAGGAAATTCACCCTTCCCTGGTTTAAAACTGGCTTCTCTGGCTTAAGGCAGAAGCGGGGAAAGCAAAGGGAGGAAATTCACCCTTCCCTGGTTTAAAACTGGCTTCTCTGGCTTAAGGCAGAAGCGGGGAAAGCAAAGGGAGGAAATTCATCCTTCCCTGGTTTAAAACTGGCTTCTCTGGCTTAAGGCAGAAGCGGGGAAAGCAAAGGGAGGAAATTCACCCTTCCCTGGTTTAAAACTGGCTTCTCTGGCTTAAGGCAGAAGCGGGGAAAGCAAAGGGAGGAAATTCATCCTTCCCTGGTTTAAAACTGGCTTCTCTGGCTTGAGGCAGAAGCGGGGAAAGCAAAGGGAGGAAATTCATCCTTCCCTGGTTTAAAACTGGCTTCTCTGGCTTGAGGCAAAAGTGGGGAAAGCAAAGGGAGGAAATTCATCCTTCCCTGGTTTAAAACTGGCTTCTCTGGCTTGAGGCAGAAGCGGGGAAAGCAAAGGGAGGAAATTCATCCTTCCCTGGTTTAAAACTGGCTTCTCTGGCTTAAGGCAGAAGCGGGGAAAGCAAAGGGAGGAAATTCATCCTTCCCTGGTTTAAAACTGGCTTCTCTGGCTTAAGGCAGAAGCGGGGAAAGCAAAGGGAGGAAATTCACCCTTCCCTGGTTTAAAACTGGCTTCTCTGGTTTGAGGCAGAAGTGGGGAAATTAACAGGAGGAGATTCAGCCTTCCCTGGTTTAAATCTGGCTTCTCTGGCTTGAGCCGAGGCCAGGGACCAGAATAATTAAATCACTTCCTGAGTTGGAAGGAAAATGGCGAGACTAGCTTTGGATGGGCAAAGGGACATCTGGTTTCCAAAATGTTCAAAATCGCTTCAGAAAGGTAATTTTTCCAAATTTATTCCGAATTACGAAGATTCCAATTGGACCTAACTATGCCTAGAAGACACATGTCAAAGCCTGGTAACCTAAAAGACAGATTTCCAGAGAGGTTACCCAATGCCATGGGTCTGAATACTTACACGGTGGCCTTCAGGATGTCCGAGTGAATCCGGGCCACGCCGTTGACCGCGTGGGAGCCCACAATGCACAGGTGGGCCATGTTGATCCGTTTGACGCTGCCTTCCTCCACCAGGGACATGCGGCGCAGCCGGTCGAGATCTCCCGGGAATTTGGCATAGACTTTCTGAGTGGACAGAGACAGATCCCCACCTCAAAGAACCATCCATTAACGCGGGTACGGGCAAACTTTGGCCCTTCAGGTGTTTTGGACTGCAACTCCCACAACTGACACTCTGCTATGTATAGGTGCGCAGAGTATTTACGGAGGGCATGATTGGAAGGAAAACTATAAATCATGCACCTTGACATATTCCACTAGAATTGAAAGGGATACCAAAGGGCCATCCATTTCTCCCAGACAGTAAGACATAAACAAAACCCTCCCGATAGATGGCCATCCAGCTAGAAGAGTGGGGTTTCAAACTCACGTCCAGGAAGCGCTGATTGATCTCGTAGATGATTTCCAGGTGTCGGGGCAGGAGGGTCTCAAAGAGGTGGACGGGCCAGCGCTCCAGGGCCTCGGGAAGCACAGTGTGGTTGGTGTAGGCACAGGTCCTCACGGTGACATCCCAGGCCTAGAGGAAAGGGACATTGACCCATCAGCATTGCTCATGGCATCGGATCTTTTGCCCTTTGTTTCCCCTATATACATGAAGAAACTCCACCAAAGGGACTACAAAGCCCCAAACATTCCAGGAATTTTTTTTATCCACAACTTCCTTTTGCATGGACAATAGCCTGGGCAGCTGGTGGCCCTCGGAGGAATTGCCCAGCCCTCAGCTTGCCCCTTTGGCAAAAATCTTAATCATATTTCCTCCTGAAGGACAAAAGGTCCTCGAAAAAACCTTTTGCCTTCGCTCTGATTAACTCAGCTATCTCCACCAAGAAACAATCACCCCAGTCTACACATGTTGATCCATTCCACTCAAAGCACAATAGATCAGGCTGGCTTGAGATTTCCCCTTTGTCTCGCCAGCCACATGGCATTATTTTTTTTCACATTCATTCATAGATTCCTTTGTGTCCTTTCATCCCGCCTCCCTCTTTTCTGATTTGCTATCGCCGCTAGATGGCAGAAGCCTCCCCATTGGACCCTGCGGACCGCTGGAGCTTCCTGATTGGTCCGGAGGCACCAGGGGTGGGAGGGCCACCTCCCAGCTGTTCGCCCATTGTCCAATCGCAGTGGAGGGCGGCAGGGAGGCTGGGGCGGGAAGTTTGAACTCTGCAACTTTGAAAACTCTATATAAATGGCTGTATCAAATGTATTTCTTTATGCTTGCATGTGAATGATCACTGCAATTGCATCCGCTTCAGCTGAATCGCTAATAAACCTCGGTGCCACTTCTTCGCCTTGGCAAGAGTCTCATTTCAATTATTAATATCAATAAAATTGCTGGAATCGGGCTTCTCTGACGGCTCGCCAAGGTCATGGGCCCTCTTTGGTGCGGTCCTAGGGGTCTCTCTTACTGGGGAGGCCCTCCTAAAGTCTGTATTGACTTCAGATGTGGGCCAAATGTCAGGAGAGAATGCTTCCAGAATGTAGACAGACAGCCCGGAAAACTCACAGCGACCCTTTAAAGCAGGAGCAGCATCTCAACCATTCAAGGCCTCACCTTGTCCCAGTCGAGCTTCTCAATATCCACCAAGACTCTCATGAGCTCTGGAATAGTCAAGGATGGGTGAGTGTCATTGAGCTGGATGGCAACCTGGAGACAAATATAGGAATCATCAAGTCAGGTTACAGCATAAACATTGTAAAAGAATCTATAAAACACATATTAAAATGTATTTCTTCATTTAATATTTGTTTATTTATTCATAAATCACACACATAATATATAATGCTAATATTGTGCCATGCCAATATATAATACATTACAAATACATATAATACAATATAGAATACTAATATTGTCCTATGCTAATAATATAATATACTAGATACATATAATAATATTATAATGTAATACAATACTAATAATAATACAATAATATATGATACTAATATTGTGCTACGCTGATAATATAATCTATTATAGATACATATAATAATATTATAATGTATTTTTATGTATTTATCGTGTCAGGAGCAAACCAAACATGTATTGCATTTTTTTAACAAGCAAATATTATATTATATATTACAATGTAATACAATATAACATTAATAATAGTACAGTATAATAATATATGATACTAATATTGTGTTATGCTAATAATATAATATATATTAGATAATATCATAATATTATAATGTAATACAATATAATAATAATACAATATAGCAATATATAATACTAATATTGTGGTATGCTAATAATATAATATATTATAGATACATATTATTATTATAATGCAATACAATATAATAATAATACAATATAGCAATATATAATACTAATATTGTGTGATGCTAATAATATAATATATTATAGATACATATTATTATTATAATGCAATACAATATAATAGTAATAATACAATATAGCATAATACTAATATTATGCTATACTAATAATATAATATATTAGATACATATAATTATTACGTATAATAATAATAATGTAATACAATTCTAATATTGTGCTCTGCTGATAATATAATATAGTAGATACATATAATATTATAATGTAATACAATATAATACTAGTAATAATACAATATAATATATAATACTAATATTGTGCTATGCTGATAATATAATATATTATAGATATATAGTAATATTAGTATTAGTATACTAATATTACTATATATCTATAATATATTATATTATCAGCATAGCACAATATTAGTATTATATATTATTATATTGTAATTAATACTAGTAGTAATACTAGTAATCATACAATATTATTATATTGTATTATTATTGGTGTTATTGTATTACATTATAACACCAATAATAATACAATATAATAATATATTATACTAATATTTTCCTACGGTAATAATATAATATATTTTAGATACATATAATAATATCATAATGTAATACAATACTAATAATTATACAGTATCGCAATTTATAATCCTAATATTGTGCTATGCTAATAGTATATTGTATATATAAATAATATTGATAATAATATTATAATGCAATACAATTTGATACTAATAATAATACAATAATATATAATATTAATATTGTGTTATGCTAATATAATATATTATTGCTCGACTCCCATTTATTTACCTTCTCTGGAAAGGCGTCGAAAGAGGTGCGGACAGGATCCCGGCTGCCAAACTTGGAGGATTTGAAGCGGCGGATGATGTCTTGGAGGGTGGCGGCCACCACAAAGTACTCCTGCTTGAGACGCAGCTCTTTCCCCTCGAAGAACTAGGGGATAATGGGTCAAAGAGTCACAAAGAGAGGTCATCCCTCACCCCTTAGCATAGCATTGAAGCAGGGAAGGCAAGGCTGGAGGTTAATCCAGGTCACCACCAAAAGGAGGAGAAGGAAACTTACGTTGTCGTTGGGGTACAGAACCCGGGAAATGTTCTCCGCCAGGTTCCGGTCCAGGACGGCTTGGATGTAACCACCAACATTAACTGAAATATGAAAGAAAGAGCGAAAACAGGATATGCTATGACACAAGATAACCAGGCACTGCCAGAAGAGACAGAGAGTTTCATCTATGTTGACGATCATGCCATCACTGCTCAAGCAGGGAGCTTTGAAAGGGTTGAACAGAAGCTCTCCAAAGCTTTAGGTCAACGTTTCTCAACCTGAGGGTCAGGACCCCTGGGTGACGTCAAGCATGCCCCCCCAAAAAAGGGATGGTGACTTATAGTTCTGCAAAGGACAAAGATACCAGACTGCACAATAGGGGTTAAGTCTTGGTCAATTTGCCAAGGCCTTAACAACAATGAGGACTCCATGAAACTTTGGGAATAACTAGACCTTGGGGTCTCTGCCTCTCTCGAGAGCTGTAGTTCTCCAAGGACGGGGAGCAAAGCTTCTTTCCAGAGACACCAGGTCCATTTGGGCCACTCAAGAACTCCTGCCAGGACCTTTGTGCAACACCCTTGCATTTCAGCCATCCCCTATGGACACTCTTTCCCCCCACATGGACAAACCTTATGAAATCTTGCCTTTTATGAACTTTAGATATATGAAATGTGTTTTCTGATTTCTTTGTGTGGCAGAAGCCATTCCCTTTTTCTTCTGACCTTTGTTTCCCCTATATACATGAAGAAACACCACAAAAGGGACTACAAAGCCCCAAACATTCCTTATCCACAACTTCCTTTTGCATGAACAATAGCCTGGGCAGCTGGTGGCCCTCGGAAGAATTGCCCAGCCCTCAGCTTGCCCCTTTGGCAAAAATCTTAATCATATTTCCTCCTGAAGGACAAAAAGTCCTCGAAAAACCTTTTGCCTTTGCTCTGATTAACTCAGCTATCTCCACCAAGAAACAATCACCCCAGTCTACACATGTTGATAGATCAGGCTAGCTTGAGATTTCCCCTTTGTCTCGCCAGCCACATGGCATTTCCTTTGTTTACTCCTTTCCCAGATTCCTTTGTGCTCCCTCATCCCGCCTCCATCTCTCCTGATAGACTGTTGCCACCAGGTGGCAGAGGTCTCCCCATTGGTTCCTACGGACCACTGGAGCTTCCTGATTGGTCCAGAGGCATCGGGGGTGGGAGGGCCGCCTCCCAACTGTTTGCCCATTGCCCAATCTTGGCAGGGAACAACAAGGAAGCCGGGGCGGGGAGTTTTAACTCTGCAACTTTGAATTTGCTATAAATATGCCTCTGATCAATGTACTGGTATGCTTGCAAGTGAATGATCACTGCAATTGCATCCGATCCAGCTGAATCGCTCATTAAACCTCGATGCCTCTTCTCCGCCTTGGCAAGAGTCTCATTTCAATTATTAATATTAATAAAATTGCTGGAATCAGGCTTCTCTGATGGCTC